CCCAAGGATGCCCATGAGCCCCCCCGAAAATCTCATGGATTTCTCCAGGTGCCCGATGGATGTCCGAAGGAATCCAATGGATGTCCTGAGGGGCCGCATGGATTTCTAAAAGATTATGGTGTATTTTCTTAGGACTCCAATCGATTTCTTCCGGGCCCTGATGGGCCACGCAGGAGACCTATGGGCGCCCTAAGGATTCCGCAAGATTTTCTAGGGAACGCGATAAATTTCTGGAGGAATCCTGTGGCTGTTTGAAGGAATCCAATGGAATTCCGAAGGCGAACTATGGATTCCCGAAAGAATCTCATGGATCTCTGCCGGAATCCCACGGAACCTCTTCGAAGTCGCATCGATGTCCAAAGCAAACCGATGGATGTCCTGAGGAATCCCATGGATTTCCTTTGGACCATGGGTATCCGAAGGAATCCAATATAGTCCCTAAGGCCAGCGATGATTGTTCTAAGGGTTCCGCTGGGTTTCATGAAACGTCGTTAGATGGCTTAAGGGTTCTTTTGTAGATTTATTGAAGAGTATGGATGTCCTAAAGACTGCGACTTGGATTGCGTAAGGAATCCGATGGATGTCCTCTAAGGTATTCTGTCTTGATTTCCTACGGAATCCGATGGACGTCCTCTGGATTCCCATAGATTGCCTATGGAACCATATGAACTTCTGATGGATAGCCTCAGGAATCTCATGAATGTCCTAAGGATTCCCATGGATATCCGAAGGGTTCTCTTGGATTTCCGAAGGGATCCGAAGAGCGCCCTAAGAGTCTTCAAGTCTTCATAGATTCCCCAAGGAGTCTCATGGATGTCCCTAGGCAATCTATGGCTTGCCCAAGGAATCCGATGGATGCCCTAAGAAACCTTATGGATTGCCGGGACAATCTTATGGATACTCGCAGGAAGCCCATGGATTTAGCGTCATGTGGATGCTTTAAGAAATCCGATTGATTTCCACAGGCTCCTTATGCTTTCATGAGCAGTCAAATGGATTTCGCAAGGAGTACGTTTCCCCCTCCTCGCGCGCCCCACCCGAATTTCCCCGCGTTTCTTTTTGTTCCCACCCGATTTTCCCCAACATGTTCTTGCCTGTTCCGGCGCGTTCGTGGCCGCAGCTTTTGAATGTGATGCCGCTGCGCATGCGAATGCCTCGAGCGGCCTCAGCTCTCTGCTGCCGAACGAGAGTCAAAATCGAATTCGACCTCGCAGGTGGGGACTTTTTGATGTTGCACTCATGCGGGAAATTCTCCCAGAAGCTCGGGGCGCCCATCCGAGTGACTGCGGATGTCCTAATGGTTCCAATGGATTTCCTTCGCATTCCGATTGATTCCCGAAGGTTCTCTATAGATGTCCTGCGGCAACTTGCGGATTTCCTAAGAGATCCTGTGGATGTCCTAAGGGGTCCGATTGATGTCCGAAGGATTGCTTTGTATGTCTTATGGGTTCTCGTAGATTCCCTAAGAAAGCCCATGGATGTCCTAGGGGATCCTATGGGGGCCCTCAGGATTCGTAGGATTCCATTCCCTAAGGAATCGATGGGTCTCCTATTTCATCCATTATATCCCTTGGACATCATATCAATTTCCAAAATCCCCACCAATATCACAACGTAAGACATTTCGTGGATTTTCACAAGGAAACCTGCGCACTGCTTCAGGAATCTAATGGATCCCCTGAGGAAACCGACGGCCCCCCCAAAGGAATCCCTCGGATCCCCGCAAGAGTCCTTCGGAACCCAATCGACGTCAGAAGGGTCCCGCTTGGATTCCGAAGGGATCATTTGGATTGCCGAGAGTGTGTTATGGATTTCATAAGGAATCCGATGGACGCTCCGATGGGCGCCCCAAGGATCCCCATAGATTGCCAAAGGAATACGATGGAATTCCGAAGGGATGTTGCCGATTTCCAGAGGAGAGCCCACGGATGTCCGAAGGAATTCTATAGATTTCTCACGGAGCGTGACAATGTTGAGTTGTTGCGTGCCCGCTCGAGGAATGTGCGCCCCCCGCGCCACAAAATCGAGGACGTCTCGGGCGAAACGCTTGTTTTGCAAAACTTGAGGGACCTAGGCGCCCCAGCGTGCCCCAGGAGGCCCTGGGAGCGCGGAGGCGGCGTAATCTACGAGGGATCGTGGCGTTTGGAGCGCGGACCACACGTAGTTTATAGTGGCCCTCGGAGTGCGGGCGCAGCGTAATTTACGAGGGGTCGGGGCCTTGGGAGCCCGGACGCAATGTAATGTACGAGGGATCGTGGCCCTGGGAGTGCGGACGCAGGGTAATTTACAAGGGGTCGGGGCCCTGGGAGCTCGGACGCAGCGTAATTTACGAGGGATCGTGGCCCTGGGAGCGCGGACGCAGTGTAATCTACAGAGGGTCGGGGCCCTGGGAGCGCGACCCCAATGTATTTTGCAAGGTATCGTGGCCCCGGGAGCGCGGCCGCAGCGTAATTTACGAGGGATCGTGGCCCTGGGAGCGCGACCCCAGTGTGATTTGCAAGGGATCGCGGCAGTGGTAGCGCGGACCCTACGTCGCCTGGCGCGTCCTTTGGGTCGTTCCGCGGCGCGTCCTCCTGGCATGTTCCCTTGCCAATTAGCTCTGGGCCAGCTACTATGTGCTGAGGCAGCTCGAACTTGAGATCCAGATCGGTTCGGTCAGGACTCGGATGCAAAGGAGGACTCGGTCCACAGCGCTATAGAGCACAATCGCGGCATGGCACATCGCAGTTCAGCACGGCCCAGCACAGCACAGCCGCCGGCACGGTACATCAAGATCGATACACAGCATTGCAATTTGTCACGTTCCGTGGCGCGTGCCGTGGCGAGCCCCCTTGGCACGTCGCGCGGCGCGTCCCCCTGGCACGTCCCGTGGCACGTCCAGTGGCACGTTCCGTGGCGCGTCCCCTCGGCACGTCCCGCGGTGCGTCTTCGTTGCACGTCCCCTGGCACGTCGCCTGGCGCGTCCCTTGGGACTTTCCGCGGCGCGCCCTCCTGGCATGTTTAGCTCTGGGCCAGCTACTATGTGCTGAGGCAGCTCGAGCTTACGATCCAGATCAGTTCGGTCAGGACACGGATGCAAAGGAGGACTGGATCCACAACCCTATAGAGCACAATCGCGGCATGGCACGTCGCAATTCAGCACGGCCCAGCACAGCACAGCCCTCGGCACGGTACATCAAGATCGACACATTCAACATTGCGTTTGCCCGTCGCCCAATCAGGTGTCTTTGAAACGTTGCCATGCCTTACATGTCTAGATTCCTTTCCGGGTTCGTGGGCCGATCATGTTTTTCCCGGAAAGGGCTGGGGCCCAGGTTTCTCTTTTAGTGTGTTTACCTCCGGTTCTGACGGCTGTAGGCCCGGCGAAAATGTTTTGCGATAAATATCGAGGTCGCGTAAGGCCGGCGACATTATGTTTGAGGATGTCTCCAGCGAAACGCTTGTTTTTCAAAATTTGTTGAGGATGTCTCGAGCGAAACGCTTGTTTCGTGTTATATTTTGTTCTCCCCTGGGGACCTGAATTCAATGGATCTCTCAAGCAAAATGCTTGTTTTCACGTGCCCAGGTCTTGAGGATGTCTCGAGCGAGACGCTTGGTTTCACGCCTCCAGGTTGCCCAGACAGATGTCTAGCATGAGGATTTGCTGAGGATGTCTCGAACCAGAGGCTTGTTTTCACGTGTCCAGGTCGCCCAGGCGGGTGTCGAGCATGAGGATGTGCCGAGGAAGTCTCGATCGAGACGCTTATTTGCACGTGTCCAGGTTGCCCAGGCGGATGTCTAGCATGAGGATGTGCTGAGAACGTCTTGAGCGAAACGCGGTTTTTCACGTGTCCAGGTCGCCCAGGCACAGCACAGCCCTCGGCACGGTACATCAAGATCGATACCCTTCGCATTGCAGCTTGGCATGTTGCTTGGCACGTTCCGCGGAGCGTCCCATGGCGAGTCCCCCTGGCACGTCGCGCGGTGCACGTCCATTGGCACATTCCGTAGCGCGTCCCCTTGGCACGTCCCGCGGTGCGTGCCCATGGCACGTCACCTGGCACGTCGCCTGGCGCGTCCCTTGGGACGTTCTGCGGCGCGTCCTCCTGGCATGTCCCCTTGTCGATTAGTTCAGGGGCAGCTACCATCTGCTCAGGCAGCTCGAGCTTAAGGTCCAGATCAGTTCGGTCAGGACTCGGATGCAAAGAGGACTCGATCCACAACGCTATATAGAGCACACTCGCGGCATGGCACATCGCAGTTCAGCACGGCCCAGCACAGCACAGCCGCCGGCACGGTACATCAAGATCGATACATTCAGCATTGCACCTTGGCACGTTCCTTGGCGCGTTCCGTGGCGAGTCCACCTGGCACGTCCCGCGGCACGTCCATGAGCACGTTCCGTAGCGCGTCCCCTTGGCACGTCCCGCGGTGCGTCCCCATGGCACGTCCCCTGGCACGTCGCCCGGCGCGTCCCTTGGGACGTTCCGCGGCGCGTTATCCTGGCATGTCCCCTCTGTCGATTAGTTCTGGGGCAGCTACCATCTGCTCAGGCAGCTCGAGCTTACGATCCAGATCAGTTCGGTCAGGACTCGGATGCAAAGAGGACTCGATCCACAACGCTATATATAGAGCACACTCGCGGCATGGCACATCGCAATTCAGCACGGCCCAGCACAGCACAGCCGTCGGCATGTACATCAAGATCGATACATTCAGCATTGCATTTGTCCGTCGCCCAATCAGGCGTTTTTGAAACGTTGCCATGCCTTAAATTTCCATATTCCTTTCTGGGTTCGTGGGTCGATCATGTTTTGGGTGGTACGTCGTTCGTTGTTCCACATGGAAAAATGCAGAGTACTGGAAACCAGAATGCGCAATCAGGACGTAGGCTGAAGCTTGGCGGTGGACCCGGTGGAGGCTTTGCAGCTTTGACAGCGCGAAGCTCCCTTGCAGGCGGGATCCCTCTCATCTGCCGGTTTTCTGCCCCCGCCAACCTGGTGCAGGGTCAACCCCCCCAGGAGTGCAGCACCCAGACGCCCACGGACGTCGACGCCGACAGCCGGTTCAGCTGGACCGCCAGCCACACGGACTGGGCGTCTCAGTACGGTGGGCCGCTCCGGAGCTGCCGAGGGCCGCGGGGCAGTCGCAGAGTTCCATCAGCCGCCCGCAGCGGTTTACGGATGACGGAAGTTGTGCCGCCCGCGCGGTGGATTTTCCCTTGTGAGCGTGAGGCACACGTTCTCGTTTCGTGTTTTTGGAATCGCTTCGCTCTCTCTGCCGGCCCATACTGCCTCACCGGATGTCGTTTGTCGGGGTGTTGTTGTCGATGCGGAGCCGTTGGGCGGCTGGACTCCTCCTGGAGCGTTTTGGGCTCTTGGAGGCCTTCTGGGCTGTTTTTTGGCGATGTTGTGAGCCTCCTCGGCAGTCTTCGAGCTCCGGGAAACCGAGAAGGCGAAAACGGTAATTTAGTTGAAAAGCGTAAAGGAAATCGTTAATGTTCGCCTCTTGGGGCTCTCTTGGGAGGCCTTTGGGTGGCCTCTTCGGAAATCTTGTACGCGTCGTGGGCCGTCTGGAAGCCGTCGTGGGTGTTTCGGACCGATCGTTCGACGAGCGCTGCCAATTGCCCGAGTGATCGTTGTCAATGCGTTGCTGCTGGGTGGAGTTGTTGATTATCGAAGACGCCTACTGCGAATCACCGCCGCCCTCTGCCTTCGGAAATCCCATTTGGCCGAGCGTTGTGGCAAGAGCTCTGCCAAGCTATCGGACCATGTGTTCCCCCAACCGTTGTTGAAACGCTTTGGGGAACACTTGGGGGAGCATGGCGGGGAAGATCAGGAGGAGGAGGTGAAGGAGGAGGAGGAGGAGGAGGAGGAGGAGGAGAAGGAGGAGGAGGAGGAGGAGGAGGAGGAAGAGAGGCGGATGAGGAGGAGGAGGAGGAGGAGGAGGAGGAGGAGGAGGAGGAGGAAGAAGGGGTTTGGAGGAGGGGGCATCTTGGGAACCTCTGGGGGAACTCTTGGGGCCTCCTGGGAGCTTCCTGGGAGCTTCTAGGAGGCATCTTGGGGGCCTCCTTGGGCCTCTTGGGACCCTTTGAGGGCTTCTCGGGGGCCTCTTTGGCCATCTCAAGGGATTCCTGGCCCGTCTGACGCCGTCGAACGCCGTCTTTGGGGCCTCTCTGGGCCGACTTGAAACCCTTCTGGGGTGTTCCATGGACGTCTTGGAGGCCATCTTGGGCCTTTTGGAGGCCTCTTGGGCCGTCCGGGGGCCTCTCGAGGCGGGGGGCCTCTTGGACCGTTCTGGGGCCGTCCTGCAGGCCTCTTGGGCGATCTTTGGGGCGTCCGAAAGCCGAAAAGAAGCAAACGCTTAAATCTCCCACAAACCATGAGGCATTTCGTGTTCTTGGTCTCTTCGGGCCTTCCTGGAGGCCCTCTTGGAGGCCTCTTGAGACGTCTCCGGGACCTCTTGGTGGCCTCTTGGGCCGTCTTAGGCCATCTTAGAACCATCTTGGGCCGTCTGGGTGGCCTCCTGGCCCGTCTGACGCCGTCGGAAGCTGTCTTGGGGGCCTCGCCCGGCCGATTGGGGGCCCTTTTGTGGTTTTCCAAGTACGTCTTGGAGGCCATCTCGAGCGTTTTGGAGGCCTCTTGGGCCGTCTAGGGGCCCTCCTGGGGCGGTCTTGGGGGCCTCTTGGGCCGTTCTGGGGCCATCCTGGAGGCCTCGTGGGCGATCTTGGGGCGATCTTTGGAGGCTCTTGGGACGTCGCAGGCCGTCGGAAAGCCGAAAAGAAGCAAATGCCGAACCCCCCTTTTAAAACCATAGGAAAATCAATGATTTGGGTCTCTCTGGGCCTTCCTGGAGGTCCTCTTGGAGGCCTCTTGGGTCGTCTTGGAGCACTCTTGGGCCATCTTGGGCCATCTTAAGGCTATGTTAGACCGTCTTGGCTGCATCTTGGGCCGTGTTGGAGGCATCTTGGGGCCATCCCAGCAGTCTTGGAGACCTTCTTGCCCATCTTGGAGGCATCTTAGAGGCCATCTTGGGCCATCTTGGCGGTCTTGAAAGCCATCTTGAGCCGTCTTGGGAAAATGTTTCGGCAACTTCCGCGCTTTGCGGTCCCTTCCCGGTGACCGGCGGGCTGGGCTGGAGTCCCAGGGGAGAGTTCTTTTGGCTGTATCTCTCTCTCTCTCTCTCTCTCTCTCTATATATATGTATGTATACACATACCAAAACCGAAAGGGTCCAGTACGCTAGACACTCCTGTGGCGAGCCAACAGGGGGCGGCGGATCGAAGACGCCTGCGGCGAGTCACCGCCGCCCCCTGCCTTTCTGGAAGCGCCCGCGTGGCCGAAAGTTGGGTTCGAGCTTGGCCAAGCTATCGGACCACGCGTTCCCCGAGTGGGTTTCGAAAGCTTTCGGGGAACACGGGAGCGGGCGAGCCATCGGACCAGGTGGGTTTCGAGCTTTCGGATTTCCTGGAGGACGTCTTGGAGGGCGCTTG